CCCCCCCCCCCCCCCCCCCCCGGTCATCGCCTAAAGTTCTTAAAATTTTCTCCTCGGTTTTTTATTTATTTGCGTTGTTTTAAATATTTTTCGCCTATTTGGCGGTTTTTAAATATTTTTCGGCACATTTGGGACGTTTTAAAAAATGCTCGATCAGGGGAGGAGGCTTCCACGGGGTGGGTTGTGACCGGAACTGGCCGCTTCCTCAGTCCTTCGTCAGTTGTCTCGGTGGATGCCCACCCACCACCGGCAGATACCGAGTGGTAGCTCTTATGTGAGACTCGCGCCAACCGACGGCCATTACTCCTGTCCGCTGATGCACCAGGGCGTGCCGCCATGCACTGTCGCTTGTCCGATGCACCCCAAGGACCTACCGACCCGGACTGCAAGTTCTTGCCCAGTCCGCATCTGTCTGCGTCTCCCAGGCAGCCCCTTGGCCCAGCCGCCGGGATACACGTGTGGTCAGTTTCTCTCGTATCAACAATATCAACAAAATCGACAACTATATTGGAATGGGAGTTCCTCTGTGCCTGTACACTCAGAGCGCCAACCGAGCCTGTCTCCTTCAAGAATGAGCTCTTCATCAAAGAATGCGCACGTAGGGCGTCGTCTGCCGATGCTGTGTCCTCTCGCCCGCCCTGAAGCGGAGGACTCATCCGTTTCCCAGCTGCGGGAGGTCAGGAGCAGGGAGCGCTCTAACTTGAACAGTGTTTGCCCCTGGCAGTGTCGCTCCTTGCATTTGTCTAGGGGAAGGTGTCCATCCCTTCGGTCGCGTTCTACATCGGGCCCACTTGTGTCCATAGACGCCGCAGTAGAGACATCTGCCTGGGAACTTTCCTGCCCACTTATCAGTCCTCTTGTCTGGGTCTTGTGTCACTGCTCTCTCTTCTTTTCTGTGTCTGTCCGACGCGTCTCGTTGCCCCTTTAGGTCGGCCACTTCCGCCTTGAGTGCATTAATGGATGCTGTGAGAGAGACCATGCCGTCCCGGCTCTCCGTCTGTTTCTGCTTGTCGATGCCATCTGCAGGTCTCCCACCGACCGCATTGATCTCAAATCGTGCACATTTCGACGGTCTTGTCCTCTCGGCATCGCTCTCGCCATCGTCGTCACCGTGGCCATTGCCGCGTTTGCGTGTCCGCAACAGCCAGACCTCTGCACTCAATCCGAGCTCCTTTACGGCGCTGAATGTGTGGGGGTCGTCGTCTTTGCGGTATATTTCGTCTTTCAGTCTAGGCAGCAGGCCATCAATGAATAGCTCGACTGCCTCTCTCTCCGATTTGCGCGTGCGTGTCTTCTGGTAGAGGTCGTTGAACTCATTGTATGCATCTTGGAACGATTGCGTGGACTTCTGCTTCCAGCTCTTCATCTGCTCAGCTACGGCGAGTGTCTTAGCCTGTTTCTGACCAGATTCTTCAACCAAGAAGCTCAAGAGCATCCCGAGCTGTACGGCTTGACTCTTGTCCTCCCAATTGGCCTGCATGCTCATCCATCGAGTGACGTGGGTGCGTGCAGTGCCTTGTAAGGCGCTCATAATGAATGGAAGTATCTGCCCTTCTCTGAGATTCAACATGTTCTCAGCCAGTTTGATCTCGTCAATGAAGGCCTCAACAGCATGGTCTGCGCTGCCATCAAATTGCCTGATTGACACCGCCGGTTTCTGTAGATCATTTCGTATGTTCAAGGCAGCCAGCCTTAATGAGAGCTCGTCCACCCGATCACTCAGCGTCTCCTGTGATGCGACCCGGCCTGAACGAGAGCTGACTGTCTCGTGTGTCGGTGTGTGTTCTGCCTCTGGCAGCGCTACGATGCCATCGGTGTCCTCCGTGTGGTTGGATGGTGAGACAACGACATCCCGTTCCTGTCGCGCAATCGATGCACGCCGTGTCTGTCTCCTCATTGCCTTCTTGCTGCGATGCAGCGCCAATATCGCACCCTTCACACGTCCCTTTCGCTTGCGTCGTTGCGTCCGTGCTTTCACCACCTGTGCGGGAGCTGCAGCTTCCGTATTCAGACCGCTCCGAGTCCTCGCCATGATCACGTGTCCAGTCGTGTCACCTCACTACCGTCCTCACTTCACAGACCGCTCCGCGTAGGCTTCACGGCAGATGCACCAGGAATGTTACGGTGCTCGCGCTGCTTCGTGTCTGTCGTCCCTCTCAGCGAGCGGGTCTTAGTGGAGAATGCTGTGGGAGGATGTGATGTGAGGTGAAGGACGCAAGACGTCTTGTCGTTGAGTGTGAGTCTGAGGTGCAGAATCAATCAAGATGGATGTCCGCACCCACACAGGGATGCTGGGAAGGACTGCCCAATGCTTATTCAAGCAACAAACGAAGAAACGAAACAACACAGAAGTCAGCCAGTCGGAATAAGGGGAGGCGCAATGGCAAAAGAAGAGCTCGCGCAGGCGTTCTGTCGCTGTGGCTCGCCCTCTCCGAGCCGTTTTGTCTCCCCCTGCCGCCAGAGTCTGTTTTACGGGCAGAAGGCGCCCCAACTCATCGCGGCACCAGCACACCCTGGCAGAATGGGTCCCGTGCGTATATGTGTATATTATGGTGATGTACTCATGTGATTGGCTGCTTGTTGCTTTGGTGGCTCAGAGGGCGCTCATTTTTCTACTTCCCCCTTCTGGCTTCGGTACACTTGCCATGGCTCTTGCTGGGCGACAGCGCTCGTTCTTGTGTATGTAGCCGGAATCGGTGTTTGTCAACGCTCTATAAGGCAGCCAGTGCTCTCTGTTGCCATCTGTTTGTCCGCCGGTGCCAGTGTAGGGAGGGGTAGACAGGCCGTGTGCATGCTTTGCATGTACATGCTGCT